TTTTCAAATGACATTCGTAGTAATTTACGCATTGTAGAAGTTAAAGTCGCTTAATTGCATTTGTCCAGGCCGCTGCATAAGCTTATATCAAGTCACTGGTGTATTAGACATGCTGAATAGACCTGCCATTCGTCAGCTTTCCGTTACGGTCATTTGTTGCATATAGTAAAAGCTTGCTGTTAGATGCGTTCACAACTTTTCGAGAAGAGAACAGCCGTAATAGGAACGGCGCACCGTGTTTGAAATGAGGTAGTTGAGTAGCGAACCTCAGGTTCATTTTGGACGTGTCTTTTGAATGCAACCCCTTGACTTTCGCAGAAGAGGAATGACTTATCGTTGAAATTCAGGTAAATTTGAATTCTGTTTTTTTCAGTAAAGTATCCGAAGCTACAGACAGCGACTAGAGGATACCAGTTTAGCTGAATTTCGAACTGATAAGTAAATGAAACATTGCCAAAGGCGTATTTTTCAGTGGTGTCCTGTGTGATATTGGCTTAATGCCGTTTTCTAGTTGTGCAAGCGTTACCCTGGTTTTTTGCGCGTGGCTCTTGCTGAACCGTTGCCTGACCGGCGATTCTTCCGTCGAGGTTGGGTGAGTTTCAGTCGAGACGTGAATATCAAAGAAATTTGCTGGTGTCTAAACAACCTTCGCGTGAGTACTATAGTTTCATGTTTGGGGAACAGCGTCATGCTGCCGAGTGATTACAGCTTCGCGACTGCGATCTCGGCGCGATCGTAAACCGCGATCTGACGCGCCGCATACGCACCGTCAACGGAATTACCGGACACAAGACGGTTGCGCAGAACGATCTGCGACTCGCTGCTCGTCTGGTTTTGCTGTATGACAAAAAATGTGGCTTCTGGCAGGCGGACGTCAAATCGGACCAGGCGGATGGTTCTGAAGACAAATTTCCTATGTCGATGGTAGGCGAACGACGGCTGTTGTTCCTTGTTTTCTGTTGACAGTTTGCTGCATTTGCAGGATTTCGAAAACATCAGCAAGAATCCACTGCTCAGCAACATAACAGACTACCTCATCGAAGAAGCGAGCGCCGAAGAGGAGGAACTTTTAGGTACGAGTCTGTCAGAAAATGACGGCGAGAGCCAGAAAGTCGTTTTTGAGAAAGACGAGAACTTGCGAAAAGTACGGAAAGGCACTGCACTAAAGCGTGCGATTGCTTCATACGTATGGTTCTGTGATCATTTTTGTTGAAATCTTGCTTCAGGTGCTGGACATGATCATTTTGTACTTGAGAATCGTCCACTCTGTTGATTATTACAATCACGGCGAATACCCTAATGAAGACGAAATGCCGAATAGGTACGTATTTGAGGTGATGCCTGATTTGTATTAGGCAAAGTTCATACTATACGCCGCAAGCCGTTCCACCTCGACGAAATGTTTCTAGGTGTTTTGTATTGTTGTCTAATGCGTCTTCCGGAAGTGGGCGGTTCCAAGTCGAGAAAAGTTTTCACCACATCTGCTCTATCTTTTTAGGTGGTTTTAGCAAAAGAAGTGAGGCGTTTGTCTCTGAGTTTTTCTGGAGAGTTTCTTTCAAACCGCTGATCATCAGCATGACACAGTTGCTACAGACACTACTATTGCACAATGATGCTTTGCAAACAACGATGTTGGAAGCCGTCAACTGGAACTTCTTTACATTTCAATATATCAGATATCATGCACATAATATGCATGATCATTGCGAATCCGCCTGCGTTCTAAAACGTATTTTTTGTTGCCGTTTTTTGGCCACTGATCCATGGACGCCATGTTTACGCTAAGATCGGTCAGACGATAGAATCGAGGGTCGTACAAAGAATTCACGTTATGTTCTTAGACCTAGGAAGAGCTTTTGAGCGAGTGCCATTATCGTTTATCGTAAGGTAGAAAGTGATGCGAGAAAAGTACGTTTGACCCACTGATGACAAGTACGATTGAGTGAGAACGATAATTCGAAGTGCAATGCGATTAAAATAGAAGCGTTCCTTGTGTGGATGGTAGAGGGTTAGCATGGATCTAATTTCGGTTACTGATGACTACGGACGCGCTGATTGTAGATCTACAGGAAAGCGTTCCGTATTGCATGCCCGATGTCGATGATGTGGTTCTGAGCAGTGAAAGCACATGTCTTGACATTGAGAACAGCACTTGAGAAAAACGGTCTTGGATTTAGTAAAACAAGTCTGAATGCATGATTGGCTGCTTTAGCATGGAAACACCATGTATTTGGTGAAGGCAACCAGCATTCTGCTACGTACAATCCCAGGTTTCAAGTAGCCTCTTTACGTCGTCATGCGCCTGAAGAAGAAAAATTTTATTTTTATTTGCGGTTTGCACCTTGTGCTGATTATTAGGCAGCTGTGGAGTGTGTAAAAGCGAATCGCTTCCTTGATGCGCGTGCGTCACGCAGCGTTTTCATTTGTATCAGTATTTGGCTTGACCATACCAGAACACTTTGTTTATGCAGTTAGTCTTCCCTCTCATTACTCAGTTGTTGGCGGCACAAATCTAACTACTGCTGCTTTATGTAGCCTTCTTAGTGAATTCGGCCGTGCCAAAGGCATGCGAAGTAGTGTTAATTTCAAGGCAAACGGTACCAGGTCTTCTGCATAATCGAGCGATTCTGAGCAACACCCGTTCCTAAGTCTTGCTTTCACTACCTCAGTATGGTAAGTGACTGACGAGTTCTCCAGACGATGCGCAGCTGAGCCTTTAAGCTCTGACAGGTTCAACCGTGCTGCCAAAGCTTGAGAAACATACCAACCCACCTGGTCGACGTGGTGAGATATAACCAAATACTCGAAAATAATATCACCGCTTAAACCAATAACCTCATTCCGCGGAGGTTTGATTGCCTCCGGCAAAGGCAGGAACTGGTCAGGCATCAGACGTTTGACGTTTTTCAGCCATTGTTCACAACGCTGTACCGTAGATGAGCATAGGAATGAAGATCAGTTTCAACGCAGACAGTTTAGTCTTCGGGCACAGCTCCGCTTTAGTCAGAACGGTTCGGGTTAGGTCACGCAAAACGCCACTGCCTATTCCAATCCGCAGGTTGATCCCTTCCTCCCATTTTTTATCATCAGTAAACACGACGCCGAGGTACTTGGAAACTTTCCTACTTTCTCAACTGCTTCTCCGTTTAGCTGAAGAACACATCGACTAGGTGAATGAGAAGGCACTAGGCCTTTCGTTTTAGACACATTCGCGAACAGTAAATTTCTCGTCTCAACATCTGCGCTGGTACATCTGACGCTCTGTTGAGAATGGTGGCTTTTCGATTCTACCGGCAAATACGATCCTCAAAGTACTGATGCCGCATTTGGGCTGCGAAAATTGTACAGTTACAGTAAAATTATTTAGACTTCTTAAGTAAAGTTTTAGAGAATAATATTGCTTTCCTGACTTATTACACCGTGACGGCGGTCAGTGTTGCACCATAAGCTGCATGGTTAAAGTTTGCTACAAATCTTGAAGTTTCTACAAAAGCGGACACCCCAGGCGTTACAGCCGGATCAGGATAGCTCACTCAAAGCCTCAGATTTGCAGTCGAGAGATCGCGCGTTCAATTTCCGAACGGTTCATTCGCCTTTCATTCCTCTGAAACGGATAAATGGTAGCGCTCTGCTGAATAGAAGAGGGATTAGACGCTCTGGTTGTCATATGTTGTTATATCCTTTGAAAAATGGCAACGAGGCAATTCTACTACCAAGCAGTGAATACTAACATCCAAAAGATAACAGATCTTCCTTTTTTTGCTGCGAAACCATATTAAGATTACCAGTTGATGACGAGCCGATACAACGAGACAAATGTCATGTCCTGTTCGGAAGAATGGCAACATCGGCATGCAAATATCGGTAAGGTCATTTCGCCATATTTTTAGTTAGTGGTGGCGCGGGCACATAAATCCTGTTTTCTCCATATTTCCATGTGAAACATCATCCAGATCTTTCGTTTTTCTTGCCCACGAGTCATTATTTCCTTTGTGCTAAGGTTAGACGGCATTGTGGAATGGTCACGGGTTCTTTTGCGACTGTTGCGGGTTGTATCCATCTCCAGTCCTTCCGTTGTGATTTCTAATCAAGGTTTCTTTATCTTTGATAGAATTACTATAAGGACATAAAGATCACTGCCAATCCCTGTTATTATGGAGTCGTTAGCCGACAGTTTCAAAGTCTTTAATATGTCATTCTGACTACAGTAGCGAATCTGGGACTTAAACTCAACCGTAGTTTGTCATGGCATGTGCTCTTGTGCTTCGATTAATGTTCTGTCCACGACCTGTTGCTGAAGTTGAATTATAGAGGGCAGTGCGTTGTTCTAACCCGTTTAAGTGGCACTGCAGGTGTTTAATTGCAAGGGTGCAGTGACATATTTGAACCACCTAGGCATATAGAGATGACGTGGCTTACAATAACGCTCTATAAATACGGATTTCGTTGAGTTTTTGTTTACGTTTCTAAGATAAAGCCATTTATTCGCTGTGATTCATTTCTTGATTTTCAATTAATGTGATTTGCAGGTGTGGCTTGATTCATGTTCGGGGACCGCTGCCATCCGGGAATCAGTTTGAACAAGATGAAACAGGAATCAAACTGTTGATTCCGGTGCAATTTAGTAACATATGTCGATAATGTGCTGATGTCTTCTTTGTTGTCAGTTGCTCGTTTCAGTCAACGAATTCATGAAAAGCTTCGAACTGAAACTTCAGCCACTGCTTCATGAGAAGGAAAAGCTGAGTGACGAGGAGGCCGAGAAACTTGGCAAGAAAGATTCTGCGAAGGAGGTTGAAGCGTTCATCAATGAAAACTGCAAAGAGTTGGCTAAAGATAAGTGGCTGTGCCCATTATCTGGCAAGAAGTTCAAAGGGCCGGAGTTCGTGAGAAAACATATATTCAACAAACATCCGGAGAAAGTCGAGGAAGTTCGCATCGAGGTTACGTTGCGTAAGAAACTTGTCTTTTTCGCCTTGACGTCGTACTGTTTAGGTCGACTATTTCAACAATTACATTTACGATCCTAAGCGGCCATCACTGACAGAAACGAAGCAACAGTCGAATGCGCCCTGTTTCCCAAACAGCTCTCATGACCGCGGCTACAACCAGGAAAGAGGTCAGGATTACTACAGACAAGGATTCGGATCCGGCGGCGGCGGCGGCGGTGGCGGCAATTACTACAAAGGTAGGCAATGACCATTTGATCAACGCCGACCCTGGGACTTTTTTTTCAAGGAAGCAACAGTGGCAGTGGTGGCGTTGGTGGTGGCGGTAGCGGCGGCGGCTACCGAAGAGATTTTTACTACCGACGGGATTATAGCAGTTCAAGAAGTTATGGTGGAAGCCGGCAACATGGTGACAGGTAGCACATCGGGAAGCAGTTTTATTTTGACTTTCATTGAGTAATAAGGTTAGTTCTTATCGTAAATTAAATACATCTTTTCGTTAATGACAGAATATTCGCGGTTCATCCTTATTTGAATACTGTTTGCAAGTAATTTTCCGGCACTACTAGCAGTTCTTAGTTTTACATGAATTATTTGTGCGGGTGCATATTTTTTCATCGCCATAGCCTTTAAAGAAAATTTCCCACACGAAAATATATATTTATTATTCATTGCTATACATTTTGCCTGACATTTCATATCATGCTTTATCTACCTTCAGGGATTGTATAGCACTGTTAATTTGTAACTATTCTATGATGTTTCTGAAAATCGATGAAACCAGTTGCGTCTGAAACGTCTGACTGATCATCAGGCTGTTACAAAACGTTTGTCTTTGTCGACCAAAACTTTAAGACTATATGTATTTCGAAAGTGTTTCAATACACACTAATTCCGTTACAATTACCGAACGAGTTTTTAGCGGCTGTGCAGTATTTTTGAAATAAAACTGGATTTCTAACGTCAGTATAGTGCATGAGGACACCTTTATCGCTGCTCAGGAAAAAACGATTTCTCCGTCGAGACGTTTAAAAGAATGGTAGTCTACAAGAGAAAGGTCTGTTTAATGGGGTTTATGGTGGAAAGCTTCGTAATCCATTTGCTTCAGCTATTAGAGAATGACGTGTGGATGTGTGCAAACTAGCAAACTTCTTCCGCTCATCTTGTCATCCACCTGCAGGACGTCCTATGGGTCAGTTTTTCTCTTTTGGAACGCAGTCTAATGTCTCTGATCTAATGATGATCGGTATTTTCAGTGTACCTTACCCGTGGCCATTTTACAGTTTCGTTTTGACTGTACCACCTGCGAATTAGTTTTTTCAGATGAGCTCTTCATGACTTCTGACTTCTCGATGTTTGGGGGTGGACACGCGTTCGTTTCAGTATTACGTGTCGAAGCAAAGAAAGCCTAAGATAATGCTGAATGGCAATTTCAAAATCATTTTCCCTAGGCAACTTTGCCTTTAATTTTATAGTGAATCACAGTCAGCTTCCCACCCTGTGACTTTTCGCGGTTCACCTATTTTATTAATAAATTACGCATAACAGGAGCATGGTATCTTTATCTACAATCAGAAAGATTGAGGTTTTTTGTTGCGTTTGCTTGATTGCTTTTAAGGTGGTCAGAGAAGCATGCCAAGCCAACTTGAATCGTCATAGCTTCTGTGTAATAATGGAACAACGAAAATTTGATTAGACTAGG